CTTCTCATTTGCATAGTTGATGCAAAACTGTTCAAAGCTGTTGACATCAAATGTTTCAAACCTGAGGAAAAAAATACATGTTTAAATTAAAAAGACATGGTCATCTAGGGAACAGAAATGGAAAAATCAGAAACCTGGAGATGAAAACCTACCCATAAATGTCGAGTACACCAATGAAGGAGTGTTGTTTCACTGCAGATTTTAAGGCACTGTTAATGCTGTCCACAATGCGACTGAAGAGTCTGGCATAGATGTGTTTGGCTAGGGCATCTCGGCCATTGACCGCGCTCATTTTGGGGACAGGCTTGACATAGGTTTCTGTGGTCGTCTTGAGTTTCCTGTGACATAACCAGTGGGCCATTTCTTCACAGGGCACCCCCATCAACTCACAAAACACCATCAGGTGGACATTATCTGGCTGGAAATACATGAACAATAATGATCTTATAGGGGTAAAGATCTACACATCCTCAATACAACATCCAGACATCAAATTAACCATATATACATGAAAAAAATAATCAGTGTTTACCGAGATACTGCATCTGTCTGCTGACTGCTCTTTCACCTCCACATTGCTAAGATGGAGAAGAGCTGCCAGAATTTGGTAAATTGCCATTTGATCACTTTCACTGATTCCTACAATGAAAATCAGAACAATAAAACAATAAATGATCATCACTCAATCACATCAGGCAAACCAGAAACAGAAATGTGTATGTACAGTACTCAGCATGTAACTGCTAGCCTTACTGAAATGCAGCTAACACTCACCTAACAGTGAGAAAGCCCTCCTGGTATTGCACATCTCTTTGGAATCATCCACTCCTTCTATGACTGGGCTTTGACCCTGGTTAGTACAGTGGAAGTCATCTGCGCAACCTTCAGACAATAATCAAATGTTGTACTAAATCTGTTATAACTGCTATTGCAAATTATTTCAACTGTTTCTCAATTCTGCTGATAAGATAACTGATATTTCATTGACTGCAATACCTAACTTGAAGGCTTTGAACTCTGGTAAATGTGAAGAGGCACACAGCTGGTAGAATATATGGTAGTTCCTTTCTTCGTGGGCCTAAAAGTAGTGCGAACAAATGTAAAATACACAAGTACTGCAAACACATTCGGTAGAATTATATTAAACAACACTAAGAATATTTTCAGAGCATTAGCTGTCAGAAAGCCAAGAAAGACAGCTGACCCTGAGGTGTAATACAGTGCACGGCACAGCTGGACTTAATGCGTAGGAATACTGAAGCTCTACGGTTAATGCCAAACAAAAGGGCTGTCTGATGGCAAGCTGAAGCAGAGAAAATACTCTTAATATAGCGTACAGCTATACGGATATTGATTTTTTTTGGAGGTGGGCCTTTTTTATGTGGCTAAAATATGTTTTGCTGCTGCCCCCGTCCACAGCAGCACATAGCTCTGCTTCTGTGCCAAGACCCCTGTCTGCTGTCGGCCAGCCGAGCTAAACTGAGCTGAGTGAGCTGTTTGTTATTACGCTGCTAAGATACACATGTTACATGTTACATGCACATGAAAGTGTTTTAAATCAATTAACTCCCATGAGAAACAGAGAAGATAGAGAGATAAGAACGGGCACATTCAGACACTGAAGCTAGTCTCCAAGGTATCGAAATGCGAGTAAAATCCATGCCGATGTAATTTACCTGAAACACAACTCTAGACTTCTCCAGTAAGTAGGTTCTCATGTTAGCCCCAATTATACAATGCTTCTTGTCAAACCCAATCTCAATGTATTTCCCAAAGCGACTGCTGTTGTCATTCCTTGTCGTCTTGGCATTCCCAAGGGCCTGGAAGAATCACACAAAAGGCTTTTTAAGTAAACTTTGTTATTTTATAATTTCGTCTTATTGCCCTGCTGTGTTAAACGTTACCTCCATGATGGGGCTGGAGGCAAGGACTCTCTCCTCAACACTGGCCTCAGTAGAGGAGCAGCTGACTGTGGCAAAGTAACGCATGGCGTATTTAGCCGAGACAGTTTTGCCAGCTCCGGACTCACCACTCACTATGATGGACTGGTTTCTTTCATCTCTGTGTGACAAGTCAACAAACATCAGCTAAAACTAATTTAGAATATCAGCTCAAAAGGAAATTAATATTTCATTTGCTTTGACATGTAAAATGAAATGTATATGGAGGTTACAAAACCTGGCCATTTGTTTGTATGCTTCCTCTGCCACTGCAAATATATGGGGGTCCATATCTCCCATGTTCTGCCCACTGTAGGCATTGATGATGTCAGCTTCATAGATAGGCAGGCTCTCATAAGGATTAATGGCAACCAGGACAATTCCTTAGGACCACAAGAAAGAAAAACTCTCAGTAGGACTCCTAAAACAGCCTAAACATATATTATGTGGCATGAATTCGGATTAATAGACAGTGAACTCGTTTTGTGTGTCTTATTTCTCCCAAATTGATGTAATATATGTTGGTGTGTGTTCCTTTAAGAGCAACCTCTGCCACAATAATCAGCATAACGTACAGTAGATTATGTCAGAGCATACAGTGAGTAGGGCTCCAAAGTCTACAGTAACAGCGATAGTGAGAGTCAAAGGAGATGAAGCTCATTACCACAGTATGTGTAAATCGACCTGGAGTCCACAAAGCGCACTTTAAGGTTGTGTAGCACTGCAGGCTCGTGGAGGTAGCTGAGAGCTGTGAGATCATTTTCCCCCACCAGGATGTTAGGATTTCTTAATGGTGGCAGGTTGTGTGCTTGGGGGTCGATTTTGTATTCCAGCTCCTGGAAAGACACAAGACGTTAGCTACAAGTACTTACAGAATGAGACTAAACACTGTAAGTTGCTTTAATTTTAGAAAAACTGTTAGGAAAAGGGACATAAAAACAAGATAAATAGGCGATTAAGCACAAAAACCCTAGCATCAGCTGTACTTCATGTTGAGTCTAACTAGGACACACTGAGCGTGGCTTGTTCGTGTTCACTCATGATAATACTTGGGCCTTATTTCCATAGCTGAGGTGCATGCCCAAACTCGACATCACAGCTGCAGGTAGCAACAGAGCGGAGTGAAAAACATTCAGCCACACCATTTAGACATCTTCATACGTCAGTCCACCTATGGCGAACCCAGGACTTTGTACAAGGTGTTGAAATCTATGTGCATTTACCAAAAACATCACAGCTGCCTCCAATAATCCCACAGCACACAGAGATTTATGAGGCTCCATTGCCTTCTTGCAGTACTTCTTGCAGAGAAATGTGTGCATGGCTCTCTGACAGAGCATCACACACCCATTTCCACCTCAGTGCCTCTATCTCCCTTTGTGTGGGTGTGTGTGTGTGTGGGGCATTTGCCTGTCTCACCGTGCCATCATCCAGCCGCAGAGTCAGCGTCAAGTCTCCAGGAGTGTAATCTTTGATAAGCTCTGCTGACTTCCACACTTCTGCTGCATCTGGGAGCCATACACGGGCATACTGATAGACAGAGGACAGAGAGGAAACCGGGTCAGAGCCATTCAACCACTGCACTTACAGTCACACACTGTTTTGTTTTTTTTACAAAACTACAGCAAAATGTCAGGATAAGTTAACTTGAAGCCAGCAGACAGCAGTCATGCGTATAATGTGGATGGATACGGGGTATTTTAAGTGGCAGACACATTAAAAAAAAAGGAATACATTAAGGTTTTAAAGCCATGTGGTTGTTGAGTAAAACTCTCTAAGTGACTAACACGAGTTAAACCACCTTTACTCACATTTATAATTAACGATACATTAAGTTAACTAACGTTAGCTCAAGAAGAAACCCGCTGGATGAACCGACAGTCTAATTTAATCCAGTATAACGTTACCTACCTTGGAGTACAGCTCAGAGGCTGCCATGTCTTACAGTTCGCTCCGTGAGCCCTCAGAAACTTTCTCTGCCCGCAGAAAGCAGATTAAAACATGTTTTTTACTGACTCCCAGAGAAGGAAACACGAACTTTCCCCTGAGCTGCTCTCTGTTGGTGTGAGGAGGACTCAACTTTCTGGTTGCCTGCTACAACCGTTGTCACTCAGCATGGTGCATCTTGCGTGCCTCCCAGCGGCCATCCTGCGCATGTCAACTAGAGCCCCTGAGGAGAGGCTGAGGTGGCACACAGCTGATACTGGACCCTCTGCTATCTCTGATCATTAATAATTATCGATCCGACAGAGGGTGTGTACCTCACAAATATAAAACAGCACTTAGTTATATTATAGTTTTTTAAAAAATCTAAGTTTTTACTGCTATAAACATCTGGCGGGACAAATGTAACCTTATGAGGGTCGCACTTTGGGAAGCCATGGTCTAATTTTTGGTGGTAATTTTGGTATTTTTTAGGCCATAATCTGTTAGCAGAGGTGAATTGTTCAGCAATTTTGGCATGCATAGCTAGGGAACCACACTGTATTTGCTTAATAAATAAAAAATTTTTCCCCAATACCTTCAGGAGGTTTAGAGCGTTTTTTTAAACGAAAAATTATTTCAGAAGTCATTTATTCACAAAAACAGCATTTTTCCCCTAAGTGAATGTAATAGGCTTCTGTATAATTCTGCATTAGTAACTGGAGTAAATCGGTAGTGACTGGTGAAAGCATCAGTCTTATAGCATTGTAAACATATGTATATTTGACATTTTTTCATACATTTTAATTTACTTACTTTGCCATTATCTTTTATAGTTAGCTTAAATGTTGTTTAACTACATATGACTTAACAATATGACCATATTACTGAATATTTCTAAGTATTTGCTAATATATGATGGAAATACACCAACAGATACAGGCTTCCTCTGAAAGTCTCAGGATTACCTCAGATTGTTTATAATACACCCTACCAATGGATGATGGCATCTTTTTTTATCCTGTATGATTTCTAATTGAGTAGAATATAAAATAAGCCTCTTTTTAGTGAATGTAGTTTTCTCATTAAGTCACGTTTGAGTGTAAAAATAAATGCAAGGACACATTCAATTGAATAAGTGTACTTATAAGAAATTATGCAAAACTATTTTATTTACAAAACAAATGGCACAGTGTGACCGCACAGTAAATGCACAGGCACACTTCCAAACACATCAAGGGAGTTTCTTTCCATAAAATCCTAAGTGATTCCAGTCAGACAGTGACAGACATTTCAGGCAAAATTCACAACTAAGATTTTCACTGAGGGAGCAAATATTGCTCAAGAAGGTACATTACTTTTAAGGCCATTTTAGAGGTCAGAATGAAATGGAGACCAGCAGCAGCAAGTCTTTGCAAACCAATGTCACTAAAATTAATTGAAATACAACTGGCTACAAAGTGTGTGTGTGTGTGTGTGTGATCTAATCTTCAGTACTTTGAGAATCAAACCGCTTCACAGAGAGAGGAAGAGACACAATCAAGTATTAGAAAACAAAAACAAACAAAGCTGGATTACTTCACTTTTCACTATTTAAGCAGACATGCCTCCATGTGAATGGGTGAATACGCAAAAAAGCTTCAAACTTGAAGGTATATCTGTAGATTACTACCTCATACATATATCAATGCGAACTGACAATATTTTCTCTGTGGTCATAATTCAAGTCTTTTTTTTCTTTTTTAAATTTAGCAACATGGCTAAATGTACAGTCTCTTCAGCTGCTCAGGCAATTTGCATGGAGGCATATATCCTTCAAAGTGAAAACATTCTGTGTAAATAAGATAGCACTAACATCCATTCATATTTACGAGTGTGATATCATGTTCAGAAATTAATCACTATTCAGTCTTTTTATACGATCTTGAGAAACATTTTTAGCAACTACTTTGTTAGATTTAACTCACTGACAACTCAGTGGCTGACAGTTGCCAATTTTCCTCAAGAATTTGACTTGGTACGCAACTTGTTCTTAGAGAATACATACAAAGGTGAAAAATAAGCAAAAAAAACGTAAACAAACAGGTAGATATGAAGTGGGTTTGGAATGGTAACAAAACAGTAAACTTAAAACCATCAACCAGCCAGTTTGCTGGCCACGATCGAAGTCTTTCTCTGCGGCAGGTCCTGAGGTGTTGGGATGTGCCCGCCTGTAATCTCAGACTTCTCTGTTGGAGCCGATGGCAACTGTTTATTCTTCATCTTTGCCTTGGCCATGTTGTAGTCACCAGAGTCGAAATACTTTTGCTGGACAAACAAAAAGAAATAAAGTGAGAATACTGGTTGGTATTGTTTAAATGAGCAGCTTATAATATTAAAAAACGCACCCCTTTCTGAAGTCTTTTCCTGAGAAGGTCTGAGCCTCCGGGCTTGGCTCCAAGGTTAGGGTACCTGGCCTTCAGTTTGGCCTCCTCAGATTTCTCTGGACTGATTACTTTGTCCTCCATTTCCTGTTGAGAGAGAGAGAGAGCACAGTGTGTATGAATGACAAATGTCAGCTGACTTGATGAAAGGAAAAACTGTGAAGTTTCATTAAAAGTGCACAAGCCATTGGTGGTTAATGAGACAGCATAATGTGACAGCAGCAGCAGTATTTATGTTGCATTATGAGCAGGCGCCGCCATGAGGGGAAACTCATTCGTCTTGACATTAACTTAGCATGTTTAGCTCCTGCGTTAACCAATGTTAACAAAGCCATCAATCAAGTTACACGTGACTGTGGCAATCTTCAAGTTTAACCTAAAAACAGCAGGGGGTTTTATGTTGCTTCACCAACAAACACTACAAGCTAATTCTCTAATTACTCGGCGGTAGCATCGTTACTTACATTAGCCAAGAGTAGCTACTGGCTAATTAGCTTCCTGCTAGCCGCCTGCTAATTCACCAGATTTGACGCGATGGCAGCTCCGGAAAACCGATTAAATGTCCAGTTTACCTGCTGTTCTTCAGAAGTCCTCGTTCCTTCAACCTCCTCGGACATGGCTGGGTTGAATCCCTGCTCTGCTCGCAAAACTGTGGCAGTAAAACGTCCAACCAGCTCTCCTGGAAGATGAAAGATGGTACTGGAAGCGACGAGGCGGGCGAGGACTACAGCCTGGGCAGCAACAGGCCGGTGGATCGATACCAGAGAGACAGATGGGAGTAACACTGGGACTGTCAGAGCACCACTGGAGCTGATTTAATATAGATGAAGAACAGAATATGTCTTTATAGTATCTTTGTAGTATAGTATCTTGTTGAAAATGTTCTTATAAAAATCGATTTTGCCCAAAAATATTATTTTAAAATATCCTATTTAAGACTTTCCATTGCATCAGTAAAATACATCAGTTTAAGTCTTTTTTTTTAAGCTGATTAATTCATGATGTTTTTAAAAATTGTGTTTCGTTTGTTCTGTAAGATAAAAGATTAATTTTATTTAAATTTCTTGCCAATAATCACTTGTATTATATCTCTCATCTGTCAAGTTTAAGCGGTAAAAGCCAATCAGACGTTTCACATTAGTCAAAGTATCTTAATCCATATTTCTAGAAAAATGCATCTATTGTTTGTAATTATACCAGCATCTGTATAAAATGGGAAGTAAAAAGGTTTGACAAATTAACTTTTAAATGTGTGTTCATTTTGTGTCTAAGTTTGTCTGTTACTGAGTACTTGTGGTTTTTATGGAGTGACATGTGGAAATGAATGTAGGCCAAATGGTTTTTTGCTGATAGCATAGTATACGCTCCACTTCAGGCACTTGCATCATGTGTGCGGTGTAGGAAAGTGCTGCTAATCTTCTCTTCTCCCATAATGTTCATACTAACAATAATAATAATACTAACACAAAGACCATTGCAAAGGTTTATCAGCAAAAATCCCTGACACAAAAGTAAAATGTTCTAACAAATATTCAATCCACATTTGTTTTGGCACTTACTTTGGTTTATAGTGGGGTTAATGTCACAGAAATAAACAGATTCGAAAAGATGTTTTTTAATTGTTTGCTCGTTTCCTTTTAACATTTTCTGCATTACTGTAATACATTATACAACGCAACAGGATAGAGTACATTTTTTATAGTCATAACTACCAATTAGAAAAAAAAAAAAGGGAGAGATGTGGTTAATTGTTGCTTCGGAGGTCCTTGTTAGGCCAATGCTTTCAGTCCTTGTACAGCAATTATAAACTGAATGCATTACTGTGTCCATCATCAGTCGTTTGGAAATTTTAATCCCCAAAACAGAAGTACAATATCATTCAAGGTCAACTTGCTCGCAGGTTTCATTACACAAACAATGGGTATGGGTATAAGATTAATTATCTTCATCCCCCATGTCCACGTCTTCTTGTAGCTTCTGCACCATTTTGGCCTCCATCTGTTTGGCTTTTCCTGTAAAAGAACAAAGACAACATTTGAACAATGCTGAAATTTATTAAACAGCTTTTTATTATAAGTCCCAACTGGAGTTTATTTTTAATCACGGACAAATGTCCAACTTCCCTAAACTGTAAAAAACAAGACTCTTTCCATAATGTGTGGATATATAGTATAGTATAGTTTGTTCAGTGTTTGAAGCTGCATTGTATTGTATGTGGCTGTTACGTCTGCTATTTTCACACTGGTCTGTACCTTCTGTGTAGTAAAATCAATGACATCAATTCAAATTCCTTGTACATGATTACAAGACTCTTGTGTACAACTTCGCTTTCCGGTGAATAAATATTCTTACCTGCATGTGGAGCTTTGATAAGGTGAATATTTTTCTTCACTTCGGTGATGGCCTCTTCTTTCTCCAACTGTTTGCCCTTCTTTAATCTATAAAGTGAAGACAAAAACACAGAAGGTGAGTAAAATACTATTTTCCAAATCCTGTAAATGCTGCATTTGTTAGATAAAGCTATTTAACACAAGATGGCAGCTATAAGATGCAAAAAGAGTCAAAAGATGTGCAAAAAAAGAACTTTCTTACCTGTTCATGATAAATCTTGCCTGTCGTTTCTGTTTTATTTCTTCCACCCTCTTCATTGCTTCCACTGTAGAAATTAAAGGAGACACATGACTCGTCAGTTCAAAAATCAAATGACAAAACATTTTAAACATGTGAGAAATAAATGAATACATCACCTGTCTTCTCCCACAGATCCCGGTTATATTTAACAGGGATACTTCTGCGTTTCTCAAACTCCAAAGAGTTATCCTGAAAAAGAGGATATTTGTTGGATAAGTAACAATAAAACTGAATAAAGACAGTGAGATAAGTGCTCTATTGATAAACAACTCACCACTGTCAACTCCTTTCCTGAGGCCTTCCTGAACGCTTTGGTCCATCTTGTCTTTCTTGGGTTACGCTTCTTCTTGAAGTTCCTGATGCATTTTGATCTGCAGAATCTGAATGTCTACAAACATTTAAAAGATAGATAAAATGAGTTTGGGATTGTGCAATTACAAAGTTGTTTTTTTGATTAAAATCAAAAGGCATATCGTCCATTATTAGCTTATTACAGATACAGAGTATTGACATTCATGTTCCTGGTCAGTAAAAAGAAACAGCAGCAAAGAAATGCCAAAAAGAAAACGATGAAAGAAAACAAACAATGTCCCCATTACACTGTCTGTCCACTAAGGAAAACAGAGTGCAAGTTTATTTTTCAAATGTTAAATGTCTCTCAATATATATCTTATATATCACAATTACTCAGTAATAAAGTTTAATGCATCGTTATGTACGTTATTTACTCTATCCGATTTTTTAAAAACTCTCCAATTTAGTATCAGCACAAAAAAGGATATTTCATAAAAAGGATTATAATAAAATGTTATCTATGAAATCACTCTGGACTGCTGACTTTTTGTACATTGTGTCCAAACTCATATTTACATACACACACTCTTATTTTTTACAGATGTCTTATTTTTATTTTATTTTTGCTGCCGTTTGAGGCCTCAAAAGTAAATGTAAAGTTAAAAATATCGCTGCCACAATCATTAACCAACACTAAAGTCTTTTCACAGACAGTACAGTAGTCAGGGGCAGTGTTTATCATGAGTCCAGTCTCACCTTTAGGGGGCGCTATTACTCCATAAGCTGAAACAGAGGCCTGCTAGTTAAAAGTCCGGACTCTTCAACTTCATACTCAGTAAAAAAGGCAGCGAGGATGTAACATGTCATAAAATATGACATTACCATTATATAAACCGCTCTATATTGAGGTAGATAACCACCACGTTGAGTTATTTTCTGTCTGTCAGCTGATGAAAACCCAAGTCTTCGTCCCACGTGAGTGAATACGTACCCACGTTACGTTAGCATGCTATCATTAGCCAGTCAGACACGAGCTTCTGTCGCAGTTAAATTATTATTTATAAAGAGAGACAGCACCATACCTTGCAGTCGTTCCTTACAAACATCGCCCCATGTCCGGGGTACACTGGTCCCGAGCAGAAATAACACTTTTCGATGCGCATGTTCACAGCAGAGTGGCTGCGTGCGACGACGGACAAAAACAAGACCGATCGGTTTCTGCTTCGTCTCGTTTCTCGGCTCCGGCAGATGGACCGCCTGTTGGGGGGTCTGCTGCCCCCTGCTGGACCTTTAAATGAAATGATTTAAATGTACTCAGGACCAGAGCTTGTAAACCTTTTCTCGCCTTTTATGCTGGAAACAGCTGCAGCTGCATTGAGGATCGGTGGTTATATTCTTAGATAGACTTCCTCTTGAACTAACACAAAATATTATAACTTTACGTTGTCCAATATGGCATATCCTTAATATTCTATGAGGACAAAAATGTTACATTTTATATACAAATATGGCATTATGAAATAAGAAACCATATAAATAAGTAGAGTAAAATATATAGATAACCATTAAATTGTGAAATGGATTCATGATGAAAACTCTTGAATTTAATTTATCAATTTTTTATCTTATTTAAATATATTAATATATCTATTTAAATGTGCCCTTGTCAAAACTTAGATTTTAGTTTATAGTATTTTTCATGACCATGGAGCTATATGGACATGGATATTGGAAATATATATTATGAAAAACGTTTCATAATAATGAGTTGAGTTTTAAAAATTGTGCAATAATACAATTTTAAAACATTTTGGTTATTTTACTGTCTTTATTCATATGGTTATTTAGATCATAATGTCATATTTATTAACTTAATATTCACAAAACTACAGTATGTCCCTTAGCTGTGTATTTCTTACTCTCCTTACTTCCTTTCTCATGCAGCTGGTAGTGCGGAGTTATCCCCTCATATGTGACTCTGTACTGATTATGGAGTCAAATGTATCTCTATATATTTACACACAGTGAATGAGCCCTCACAGCAGATATAATGCAGATTTTTCTTCATTGTGAAAAGGCTCAAAAGGTATGAGCAAAAGACCCTCAGATGAAAAAGAAAAGAAGAAAAATAAAAGTTACAATAAATGTCTGAAAAGAAATCTTCAGTTCAGTGAATGTAAAACTTTATTGCTACAGGTGAGAAACTTATCTACTGTTCTGAAAAAGAGGGTTATTTATATTGTTGCTGTCTTGCTGTCTGATGAGTTTTTAGTCTTTATGTTGTTTTTGTCTTTAATTGTTTTTGTCTTTAATTGTCTGTCGCCTATTCTCAAAGCTTGTATTATTGTTTGCACATGTAGTATGTACCGGTACCTCTATGTATGGTATATAGTGTTTTCAGTATATTTCAATAAATAAAAAGAAGTTTCATTTTCTTCCTCTCTCTCT